TTTTGGATCTTGAATAGAAAGCACTGATAGTGCAGAAAAGGAGAAGGGTGAAATCAGAAAAGATCTGTAAACTATGAAATGATTTATAGCAATGGGCTCAGTCAAATAGAGAGATGCAATCAGTGGCCATCCCTTATGTGTGAGGTCAATGTTCAAGGAGGTGTAGGAGCAAACTTTAATTCACCTTGCATCCTATTTCAGATTCAGAACCTATCTCAATATAATACCAACTGGGACGTCCCACCGGAATTGAATATTTCTCCTTTTTAACTCAGACACCAGAAAGCCAAATTTCTTCCTTTCCATTAATATCTTAGGTGGGAGTTCCTTGTAAATCCAAATCTTTCTTCCATACAATTGCAAATTAGAATTGAAGGAATTTTGCACAATTTTATTCCTAATTTCTTTATCTGAAAAATAGATTACCACATCTCTAGGCAATTGCCTTTGCTTGGCAGTCCAGGAGTTTATTCGATAAGCTCTGTCAATCCTACAAAACACTTCCTCAGGTTGAATCTTTAAAATCCCAGCTAGAAATTCAGAAGATATTTTCCTTAAGTCATCTCTGTTATTTTCCTGCAAACCTCTAAGTCTTATTGCATATTCTGTGAAATTATATTGTATCTTTAGAACCTCTTTTTCAATCCTCTGTTGCAGATTTTCTACATTACCAGACTTTTGGTCAGCATCCATTTTAAATTTTTCTTCTGAACTATAATCCTGAATATTTAACAAATCATTTTCAATTTTTTGAATTCTATTGTCCAATTTATCTTGAATTTCATCCATTTTTGACTCTAGTAAATTAGTATTTGTATCCAACCGAATCATGAATTCTGACACTTTTAAAATTTTTTGCTGCAAAAAGTCAAACTTGGATTTCACCAATTCCTTAGTTTCCTGCTTAAATTTTTCAAGTTGCTGATTCACAATCTCATCCCTTCTTTCAATCTCCTCTAAGAGAAATTCTATTATATTAAAATCAGGTTTCTGGGACTGAAGAGTTAAAACTTGTTCCTTTAAATTCTTAGTGGGGAATCCCCCCCACCTATTTGTTTGTCTGACTTCACAAGCCTCAGTGCCATGTTTCCGCCTAAGCAGGCTTTGTTAGAGGAAAAAAGAAAAAAAAAACAAGACAAAAGACTTCCAGCCAGCAACAATCAGGCCTCCAGGGGAAAAAGAGAAAAACAAAAACAGGAGCGGAGTTTTGTCTACAAATGTAGCCTGTGGTATTTATTCCGCTACATTGTAATAATAAAAAACGGAAGAACTTTCCTCTCAAACTCTTCTCCAGCCGCGGCAGACGCCATTTTAAAAAAAAACTTTTTTCCTCTTTCTCTTCCTCTATTCTCTTAAGTAATTTTTAAAAGATAAGTAAAAATACTTGCGCTTCAGTATTACAGGTCCAGCTCACATTTTCTTTGAGTAATCTGTCAAATTCGCAGGCTTGCTTTTGACGCCTGGCTCTGCATTAGCAGAGGTCTCCCAAAGCCCGGAGCAGCGCTGGGGATATGGGGCATCTCATCCGCTCCATCCCAAAAGTAAAAGAAAAACTTTTGGGACTCTGCAGAGAGTTCTACCCACCCCTGCCGGCTCTATCTCCGTTTCCTCCTCATGGAACGGAGTTTTTTCGAGCCGCCGTTCCGTTGTGAAGGCGGCTCTGACAGGCAGTGGAAGCTGACGATCCCAAAGGAACGTCTGGCGGCGGCCAGCAGCAAACAGGAAGTCGGACATTTCCTTTCTGTTCTAAAGGACTTTATTTAAGAAATGATTTCCCAGTCTTATGGCTGAATGGGTGATAGCACCAATGTGATCTGGGTGAAGCTAAGCAGGACTGGCTATGGTTCATATTTGAACGAGTGACCACCTGAAAATTCTAAACCTTTAGCCCAATCAGGAGGTTGTGGGGGGGGGGGGAAACAATCTGGAAGAAGACAATACAGTAATAAATACACGTATTTTTTAATACATGTCCATAATCGTGATCAGAATTTATGTTTCTAAGCAAGGTGGTCATTAAGGGAATCACAGCCAGTGAGTAAGTCAAGGACTGCCTGTACTTCCAACTTTGCAAGCAACATTAACTCCAGACGTGGAAAATGTTCTTGCAGTTAGGAACCATGTTGTTTTTTTACTTTAATTTCAGCCTCAAAGGATTGCAAAGCATGTGGCTGGTTGCATCATGACATTGCCGAAGCAATGTCACCCTTTGTTCTTTGAGGGGGTGGGGTTTTAAGAGCTAAAATAGCACCCCTTTTCTCCCTTAGACCAAGCATCCCTGAGGAGGAAACCTGAATCTTCCTTAACCTTGTTTCCTTCAGCAATACAAAGATGCCTGGATAGAGAGCCAATTCTCCATGCATTAAACTGAATACAGTCTTCCTTCTAGAAACCAAGAGTAATGCCATTAGTTCTGATAAATCTATCATCTGGATTCATATTAACATGGGTAGACTGCTATATCTGTTTGTGTGCGTTCCTTCCTCAAATTGATGGATAATCTCTAAATCATTAGAAGGGTGTTAGCTCAGTTAGTTCAGTGGCTAAAATGCTGAGTTTGTCGATCAAAGGTCAGCAGTTCGAATCCCTAGCACCGTGTAACGGAGTGAGCTCCTGTTACTTGTCCCAGATTCTGCCAACCTAGCAGTTCGAAAGCATGTAAAAAATGCAAGTAGAAAAATAGAGACCACCTTTGGTGGGAAGGTAACAGCATTCCGTGCAGCTTTTGCGTTTAGTCATGCCGACCACATGACCACGGAGACATCTTCGGACAGCGTTGGCTCTTCGGCTTTGGAACGGAGATGATCACTGCCCCCTAGAGTTGGGAATGACTAACACATATGTGTGAGGGGAACCTTTACCTTTACCTTAAAGTAGCAAGTGAGCCTGGGGTAAAACCAAATTACAATTCTCCTTCAGCCATGAAAGCTTACCGAATAACTTCAGTCAATCGTTGGGACTCACTCCAACCTAATGATAGTTATGAGACAAAATCAGATAAGACATACACCATCTCAGACTCTTAGAGGGAAATATATCAATAGAATATTATGGCGCCATTGAACATTTTGGATCTTGAATAGAAAGCACTGATAGTGCAGAAAAGGAGAAGGGTGAAATCAGAAAAGATCTGTAAACTATGAAATGATTTATAGCAATGGGCTCAGTCAAATAGAGAGATGCAATCAGTGGCCATCCCTTATGTGTGAGGTCAATGTTCAAGGAGGTGTAGGAGCAAACTTTAATTCACCTTGCATCCTATTTCAGATTCAGAACCTTTAATGACCACATAGGCTCATAATTAGCAGGCTAGACACCAAATGTTCTCTTCATAGTGCTCCAAAACATCTTGTTGAAAGACTCTTGAGAGATCTTCATAGATTCATAAATTAGATCTTTATACATCAGAAGGAAAGGCTCTTGAGAGATCTTCATAGATTAGATCTTCATAGTTTAGAGTAGGGTCTCCAACCTTGGCAACGTTAAGACTTGTGGACTTCAACTTCCAGTAAAGCTGGCTGAGGAATTCTGGGAGTTGAAGTCCACAAGTCTTAATGTTGCCAAGGTTGGAGACCCCTGGTTTAGCGGGGGGAAGGGTTAAGGGTTAATTTTCATTCTTGAGTTGTCAGATATGATTGGCCTGAAATGACCATCATCCTGCTCATTGGCACTGTCATCTGTGGATGGAAGGAGTTAGAGTCCAACAAGAAGTGGCCAATGCTGAAGAGGACAATCTAAAGTTTCACTTTAAGCCACATAGGTGCCATGGGAGTTTCACGCACACCCTCTGCCCTTATAAGGGCTCTTACCTCATGCAGATGACATCCATAGCATCCTGTTTTCCAAATGTTTTTTGGAAATGTGCCTGGATGATTTGTGCAGCCAAATTGAACAAGTGATGGAAAGGAAAGGAATCTGGACGATGGGTCTGGTCTCTTGCCTCCTTTTGCTTTCTGCAGTTGAGATGGGCTCCCTCTTCTAGAGAAGAGGCAGATTGCCATATTGCTGGGTAGTTGCCAAACAGGGAACAGTGCGTAAATGCAAAAAGACAGGTGAATCTACATGGCCCATCCGCGTGGCTGGATTTGCACAGCATGCTAAAGTAGGCTAAATAGATTTCTGGCACAGATTGAAGAAAGCAGCTCATCAGGGTTAAACCATGATAAGCTACCTTAATCCATTATTTATTTGAGTATAGCATGTTACACAAGCAGAGCAACTATATTTTGCTAGCAAGAGGGTGGGGTTTAACATACTGTGTGAACCCAGCTAAATTGGGCCTTCATTAGATCCCAAATCATAAAAAGCATGCCCTTTGCAACCCGGTTAGAATATAATTATTGAAAAGATGACAATCCTCCCACAGCAGAAGTCTGAAAACTGAAGTTAGGTATTGATGAGTGTTGTTTTATATCCTTTTTTTTTTTTTTGCTTCCTCTCATTCAGTTGCTTATATTCATCTCATTTAATTTCAAGGAGCCTTGGTAGTACAGTGGTCTAAGGCACCCTGTTATTAAGCTGGTTATTAAGACCAGCTGCCTGCAATTACTGCAGGTTCGAATCTCGCCAAGGCTCAAGGTTGACTCAGCCTTCCATCCTTTCTAAGGTAGGTAAATTGAGGACCCAGTTGTGGGGGCAATAAGCTGACTTTGTATAAATATACAAAAGGATGAAGGCTATTGCTGAGCACATTGTAAGCCACCCTGAGTCTCCGAGAAGGGCGGCATATAAATCAAATTAAAAAAAAAAAAAGAAAAAAAAGAACCGTAATGCCAATTTAAGCCATCTGATGCTTTCAGAAATGGAATAATAATAATAATAATAATTTTTATATATATATATATATATATATATATATATATATATATATATATATATATATATATATATATATATATATATATAAAGCCGCTTGATGCTGTTGTGACATTTGTGTGCATAGTTAAGCGGTACCCACATGCACACACATCCAACTTTCTCCTCTTGCTTTTTGTCACTAGCTTGTGAATGAGCAACAAGAAAGCCGGCCCCTGCTGAGTCCTTCTATAGATGACTTTCTTTGCGAAACCAAATCAGAAGCCATTGCACGTCCGGTGACATCAAATACAGCAGGTAACAGCTCTTTCATTCACTCTTACTCTCGGTTGCGGTTTGTTTCCAAATTCTGCCCGATGTTTGTTTCACTGCCTACTGCTTTTTGAAGCTCCACGCCACAAACAACAGAGATTTTCTTTCGTTTTGCGGGGGAAGAAACCAGTGAGTTCTTAATGGCATGTGGGCTAGAAAGTCATGATTATAGCTTGTGATATTTGATACTGTTCAACCATGTCCAGAAAAATGGAAAAACCAATGAGAATCAGTGAGGCTTGCGAAAGAAAGGGCTGCTTTATGCATATATACAGACACAGAACTTGGCATGTGAGTTGAAAGGTATATTCTTAGATATTCATATCATTGGTTTCTCCTGAAACAAAAATGTTATGGGCTAATCATAGAGCTGGGGTTCTGGATGGAATACATTTTTCATCTGGCATATGAAGATAGTTTTGATGCTAAATAAAGTTCACTGTTGCTTTTAAAAAAAATTCAGTATAAATGTAAGGGGGGAATGCAAGTAGCACAAAAATCTGGGTTTTGACAAACAAGGTGTGAAGACAAGTTGCTTGGCTCCTGTTGCTGTTTAGCAAGTCAGGTCAGACTGGATAAAAATATCATGATGCCAAGAGATTTCTCTCTAAAAGAGAAAAGGACAACAAGTGAATAGAATAACAGAGTTGGAAGGGACCTTGGAGGTCTTCTAGTCCTAACCCTATTCAAATCCCTTGACCTGGACTGATGGGGTTTTAAGGGTTAAATTTTAAGTTTTTTTAGATTTTAGATTTTATTTTGTATTGTGGCTTGTGTTTTTATTATTGTGAGCCCCCTGAGTCTATTGGGAGATAGGGCGGCATACTGTATAAGCTGAATAAAATAAATAAATAAATAAAATAAACGCCCTGCCCAGGCAGAAACCCTACGCCATTTCAGACAAATGGTTATCCAAATCTTCTTAAAAATTTCCAGTGTTGGAACATTCACAACTTCTGCAGGCAAGTTGTTCCACTTATTAATTGTTCTAACTGTCAGGAAAGTTCTCCTTAGTTCTAGGTTGCTTCTCTCCTTGATTAGTTTCCATCCATTGCTTCTTGTCCTGCCCTCAGGTGCTTTGGAGAATAGCTTGACCCCCTCTTCTTTGTGGCAGCCCCTTAGAGATTGGAACAGGGCTATCTTGTCTCCCCTAGTTCTTCTTTCCTTAAACTAGACATACTCAGTTCCTGCAAATGACTATTCCAGACAAGAGGTTGCTATATCCACACAATTTCATGGCCATTCTCTTTGCAAAGATTTCCAAGAAATCTCATTTTAAAGAAGTTAGGAGTGCATTTCTGCAAAGTCAAGAGAGAGGGGGGAGGGAGAGAAGGGGGGGGGAGGGAGGGAGACACAGAGAAAGAGAGAGATTCACAAGAAAACTGGCGGTGATGAAAAGGTGAAAGACTCATAAAGGAAATTTTAAGAGGTTCAGGAGCCATTAGTACTCCATAAATGCAAACGCTTTTTTCCTAAGATTTGAAGGCAATTTTACAACAGTAAATGTAAAATCTCACATTCACCTGATGGCAACACATGAGAAAATCTTCTCTATAACCTTCAGAAGTTACTGCAATGTTGTTTTAGCCATCCTTCTCCAACCCAACATCCTTGAGATGATATTTGTCCTATACGAACTGGAAAATGTGAAATTTGCAATCCAACTCATCTGGGATGAACCAAAGAGGAGAACACTGTGGAACCTATAGATTCTATGTAAGATTTTTTTTTCATAGCCTGATACCCTCCAAGTGTCATTCTTAGAATTCCCAACCATCATGCAATCCCAACAAATCTTGGCTACAGAAGGAAATGTAATGGCAATATCCAGTCCTCCTAAAACATTTTTGCTTAGTTATTTCACTTAGCTTAGTCTAATAGGCACATAATTGCCTCATATATTCAAATGAGATTGTCCATCAAATCACATATTACATTATTTACACATTGGAGAATAAGGCATTTACATCTGACAGTATGCGTGTGTGTAGGACCTGGTAAGATTGAACCACAAACCATTTGCATGCAAGGGATGCCTTATGTATGCATCCAGATGAGGTGATTTGAATACAAGGTTGCAAATAAATTAATCTCTACTCCCAGCTGTCGTTGGGGAAATACACCTTTGCATATTGGATTCGCAAACAGTATCAAATTTAGATGGACTTTTAAGGCTTTTTAGTCTTATCCAGCCTTCCCCCCAAAGCTGGATCTGGTTTTTGACAAAAAGAAAAAAGAAGAAAGAAAGAATGTGCTTTACAACAGGATAAACTTTTTCTGTCCTCTCATTCATTTCTGGTTTCTCCAACGATATTTGCAGACACACATTGAATATGACCTTTTTACCCTCTATTTTACATAATCAAATGAGTATGGTAGGACAATCATTTCAAACGGGCCTTCAAAGAGGGAACCAGAAAGAACTGAAGATCCCAATTAAAGGAGAAGAACACTTAAATATGACTTACTAATACTGAATGAAACAAGATATTTTAACATTGGATACGTTGAAGGTTAAGTTTGAACAATGGATTCAGAAGTTAATGTTAAGCCTGCCTCTATAATAGATTGTGTTTACAGATGTTATGAAAGAAGAAAAAGTTTTACGTGACAAGATTGAGACTGATCTGAAAAGGGACTTACAAATGACAGGCTACAAGAACAATACAGAAAAAGATGCTACACTAGACATACGAATCTAATCAACTGAGGTCTTAATAATCAAAAGGGATATACAAATAATGAAGCAAGGGAGTAACTTGAATAATCTTCCTATATTGGATTTACAAGGAGGCTTGTTAAAGCCTTAAGGAATTGTGTGAAAAGGGACAAAGAAAAAAGAAAGAGCCTTGGTACTACAGTGGTTTAAAGCACCCTGTTATTAACACAGCTGCCTGCAATTTACTGCTGGTTCGAATCTCTCCAAGGCTCAAGGTTGACTCAGCCTTCCATCCTTTCTAAGGTAGGTTAAATGAGGACCCAGTTTGTGGGGGCAATAAGCTGACTTTGTATAAATATATAAGTATAAGTATATTTGTATAAATATACAAAAGTATGAAGGCTATTGCTTAACGCACTGTAAGCCGCCCTGAGTCTCCGGAGAAGGGCGGCATATAAATCAAATTAAAAAAAAAAAAAAAGAAAAATCAAAGACTATTTGAAGAGATTAAAGATCAAGATTGTTAAAAGTAGGAGAAATGGATATATTTATTTGATCAAGGTCAAAATAGATATGCTGTTATTTTGGGTAACTCTTAATGGGCTTTTGTTGATCAAACTGAAATGATAAGGTTTTAGGGATTTGCTCAGAGATAAAAGATGAGCGGTATGGTGACCTAATGATGAAGACATTGTCTTGTCACTTGGAAGGTTGAAAGTTCAATCCTAGGTAGCAGCGGATGTTTCTCTCCTAGGTCGAAAAGAAAAAAAATATCTGCTGGGAACTCCTCGTAGGCATCAGGAAGGGCATCCAGCCAGTAAACACTCAGCTCCATCCAGTTGCCCCAACTCTACCACAAATTAAGGGATTGCAATATCATAAGGGAGTCTTTTAAAAAGGAAGTTTATATACAGTAGATAAAAAATAGGATATGGGGAAAAGTTAATAATTGTTGTATTTTAAGAGAAGGTTATAAATTACTAAAATTGTTTATGCTTGTGATGAAGGGGAAAATGATTTGTTTATTATATTTATTTCCTTGTCCTTTACTGTACACTTATTTTTTCCTTCTTTTCTGCATTTTAAGCTTTCCTTTTTTTCAGTTTGTATTTTTTGAATTGTAATTTTTAATAAAGTTACACTAAAAAAAAAGAGTTCATCCAAAAGGAAAACAATGGTTATTTTACCTGGTTATTTTATTAGAATATAATTATTCTAATCATTTACCTGAATGACAGGTAAGATAAGGCCAGAGAATGATGAAGACATGTCAGTGTCTTTTTTTTTAAACTACACGGATCTTAAGACTTGTGCCACTGCTATTTTGGGCTATAGGTCAGTCCCAGAGGTGGGCTTCAGCAGGTTCTGACCAGTTCTGGAGAACCGGTAGCAGAAATTTTGAGTAGTTCGGAGAACCGGTAGTAAAAATTCTGACTGGCCCCACCACCATCTATTCTCTGCCTCCCAAGTCCCAGCTGATTGGGAGGAAATGAGGATTTTGCAATATCCTTCTCCCGGAGTGGGGTAGGAATGGAGATTTTACAGTATCCTTCCCTGCCACGCCCACCAAGCCACGCCCACCAAGCCATTACCATGCCTACCAAGCCACACCCACAGAACCGGTAGTAAAAAATTTTGAAACCCACCACTGGTCAGTCTTTTTGTAGGATTCAATCCCCTACCATTGCCTACTTGATTACAGCCTTTTAAAAGTAGTATGCATACCCAGGTAGTCCTCGACTTACAACAGTTCATTTAATGACTGTGCAAAGTTACAACAGCACTGAAAAAAAGTGGACTTACCATTGTTTTTCACAGTTGCAACCTTTGCAGCATCCCCATGACCATGTGATCAACATTCAGATGCTTGGCAACTGGTTCATACTTATGACCGTTGTAGCGTCCCGGGGTCATGTGATTACCTTTTGCGGATCTTCTGACAAGCAAAGTCAGTGGGGAAGCCAGATTCACTTAACAACCAGATTACTAATTTACCAACTGCAGTGATTCACTCAACAATGGTGGCAAGAAAATGGGGGCAAAACTCACTTAACAAATGTCTCACTTAACAACAGAAATTGGGGGCTCAATTGTGGTCGAGGACTGCCTGTAGTATCCTTTCTTGCTGATTCCTGATACTGAAATTTTGATGAACGTTTATACAACGAATGTGTCATCGTGCCAGGCTTCCATTTAACAATTCTAAACAAAAAAGCAGTTTTCTGATTGATATTTATAGAAATAGCTCAATGGGGTATGGACAAACTGAAAAAGTGTTTATAATAGGACTCAGGTTCTACTGTGATATACCTGTATTTGCCATCTAGTTTCTGCTTGAAGCATGTTATACTCCGTAAGCGAACCTTGAGAATAACTTGCTGTAATCGAACTATATAGTTTTAGGGTTCACTTAAAACTACTGCAGGTGAAAATTAACACAAAGCAGGGAATATGTACCATAGTTTTTGGAGTATAAGATGCACCTTTTTCCCCAAAAAAAGAAGGTGCAAATCTGGGTGCGTCTTATACTCCAAATGTAGCCCCACCCCCGGCTTCTCAAAGGAAGGTTTCAGAGGCTGAAAAAAGCATCAGAAATGAAGCTTCAGAAAAGAAGCCCCCAAACAGAGCTTCAGAGGCTTTTTTTCTGAAGCTCTGTTTCGGAGGCTTTCAGAGGCAGGGAAAAAAGCAAAAAAAAGCAAGGCACAGAGCTCACAACCAAGGAATCTTTTGCTAAAATTCACCTCTGGATACAGCTGATTGGTGGTATTCCCGGAGGTCGATCCACCTGCCAATCAGCTTTTTTCTTATTTTCCTCCCTAAAAACTAAGGTGTGTCTTATACACCAATGGGTCTTACACTCTGAAAAATATCGTAATTAGGATATCCCTAATTATCTCTAATATCACTGGTTTAAAAATCAAAGACTTTCAATATGATGAAAAAGAGTAATATAAATTCTTTCTTCTCAACCTCTTTGCTGAAAAAAATCACATTCCACGATTGTGTTTATTCCAGATTTATTTATTATTTGTCATTTATTTAGAAAACTTATATTGCCGCCTATTCACCTTGAATGCTGATTCAAGGCAGCTTACAAGGATATAAAAACAGCATATAAAAGAAATAAAAAGAAAAATAATAACATAATAATCTTAACCATCCCAAATTAAAGAGATAACAGCTGCATTTACACCACATGCTTGGGTATTAACTACAGCTTGATTTTTATTTCTGCATGTTGAGTGACTCCAATCAACTTAATTTATGATCCAGTGGCTGTGCTTGCGACACACTTAAACCAAGTTACAGCATCAACCCATTTTCTTAGTTCTCAAAATGCATTAAACCCTAGACTGATCAAATCAGCTGGGACCTCATTACACATTAAACCACATAAGCACCCAATACAAACCTTGACAAAACTAGACATAGCGTGTTGTGCAAATGAATCTGCTAAGTCATTACCATCCCTCATAAGTAAGGTGGATTAAGTGGGTTGTCTAAATCCTTACCAACCATGATTGAGTGGGTTGGATTAAGTGGGTTGGCTAAATCATTACCAACCATGATTGAGTAGGTTGGATTAAGTGGGTTGGCTAAATCATTACCAACCATGATTGAGTAGGTTGGATTAAATGGATTGTCTAAGTCCTTACCAACCATGATTGAGTAGGTTGGATTAAGTGGGTTGGCTAATCTTACCAACCATGATTGAGTAGGTTGGATTAAGTGGGTTGGCTAAATCATTACCAACCATGATTGAGTAGGTTGGATTAAATGGATTGTCTAAGTCCTTACCAACCATGATTGAGTAGGTTGGATTAAGTGGGTTGGCTAAATCATTACCAATCATGATTAGGTAGGTTGACATGATTATAAGTTCCATGTATCATGCCAACCCCGAAAACAAATTAACATAAAACAAATGCCTTGAGGAATAGTTTTGGGAATTTTATAAGAGCTTTGTTGAGAAATGAGGATGGCTGGACAATCTTCAAAACCACAAGGACCTTGGCCTTCAATCTAAATTGCTAATGAGCACCTAAAAATATGTGACCTTCGTGTCGCTCTTGCAACTGCCCCTTTCTTTTAAATTGCTCACTTCATAATCTCCAATGCAAATCTTTGAGTGAATATTTTGACATTGGCCATGTTGCCAAGGTTAAACCATACATGACAAACATCTTCCTGTAACAAAAAACAAAATTTCAAATTTGACAACGCTGAAATGCCCCCCACCCCCAAAAGAAAGCCAGTCAACACCGACCATAAGATTTGAAGCTTTCCATTGAAATAACGGGCTTTAAAATTTTCATTTTTGGAATCATTCTGAAGCCTAAGGAGATGGGTTTGAAAGATTAAAAAAGTATAAAGAGAAAATGACCTAGAAGTGAAATAAAAATTATATAACTTCACAACATAGCTTTTATTATCAACATAATAATTTTAATTTGGGGTATTTTAAATTTCTGGGATTTTAATTGGAGCCTAATTATTTAATGATTTTAAATTTTAATCGTTGTTTTGTTTTGTGTTTTTAAATAGGCTGTACACCGCCCTGAGTCCTTCGGGAGAAGGGCGGTATAGAAATAAAATTATTATTATTATTATTATTATTATTATTATTATTATTATTATTATTCCTATCCTTAGTACTAGATAATTATCTGCCTGGACACTCCTAATTAATGCAGACACTTAAAATATGTGGAAATTGACAGAGTTCATTAAATGTTATGGGCACAATTGGTTCAGTTTTTCATTTGGAATCTTATCAGTATCTTATTTTATTGAATCCTTCAGTCTCCTTAGCAAGGGACTGCTTTGTGCAGCCATTTTGTCATGTTTCTACATTAATTTAAGTCCCTGCTGAAATAGTATGGAATCACCAGCTGACTAAATGTGAGGAAAATTATTGATAACTAAGGACTCGTGTCTGGGATCACATCCATGGACACTTTTGGGTTACCCTCAGTTCTTCTATCGTCTCAAGGTATCAGGGTTAGGGTTAAAGCAAGAAATTTCATTTGGCTAGCCCCACGGGTGGGCTTCAAAAATTTTAGCAAGGGGTTCTCTGTTCAGTTGCAGGGTGGGCGTGGTCATGGTGGACGTGGCCTAGTCGGCCTCCTGCACCATAGTGAGGGGGGGCGTTTTTGCCCTCCCTGGGCTCCAGGGACTTTCCTCAAACCTCCAGGAAGGTGAAACCGGCCTCCCCAGAAACGGGCTTGTTTCCAACCTTCCCGAACTTCTGGTAGGCCTGTTTTTTGCCCGCGCCCTGCACTTACCTGCATTCAAAATGGGCCACGTGGGGGCTCCTGGGAGGAGCAGGGTGTGGTGGGAGGGGCCAGCCAGGAGTGGGATTTCGGAGTTCTTCGAACTGCACAGAAAATGGGAAATCACAGGAGGAGATAGTGGCAAACCATCTAAATAAATTTTAGGACAACCACACTATCAGATTTATTGAAGAGGTTACTTAAATTGCCTGGAGCAAAGAAAAAAATAATTAAAAGAAGAATGGATGGTTTTGATTAGTGGGATAAGAATTAGTGGAGCCCCTGGGCTGATCCCCTTATGTAAATCATTAGTGTGGAACTGCTACGCAGTTATACTAGAAAGTATAAAAGGTAAATATGGTAATCTTTCTTGAAGTCTAAAAAGTAAATATGGTAATGTTTGTGATCTATAACAGGGCTCTCCAACCTTAGCAACTTTAAGACTTATGGACTTCAACTTGAACTCAACTTGAACTTGAGTTCAACTTGAACTTCAACTGGAGTTCAACTTGAGTTGAAGTCCACAAATCTTAAAGTTGTCAAAGTTGGAGACCCCTGATCTATAATAAACATAAATCAGGCATGTAAGTAGGGAATTCAATTAGAGAGTCATCATTCTTTCCTATAGACCTTGTTTTTTCAGTCCAAACTTGAGATACAGGAATCTACCCTCCCTTGCCAACATAAATGCACACACACACAGAGAAACACAAATACAAACACAGACACAACCACACAACCACACACACACAAATATACTGTGTTTCCCCGAAAATAAGATCCTGTCTTATATTTTTTTGAACCCTGAAATAAGTGCTTGGCCTTATTGCCATGCGCTCAAAAGCCCGATTGGGCTTATTATCAGGTGATGTCTTATTTTGGGGGAAACAAGGTAATTATCCTATGTTACATTTAGTTTGGATTCCACCTTGACAAAGGCAAGGAAAACTCAGCGTATTTTTTCAAACGTTGGAGTTACAAAGCATTGCGAAGGTATTAAAATGACAGGTTTTTCTTCACAATGGCCCTGTGTTAGTTCTTTCAACAGGTCTGGATCTCCTCGACCTCAGTGAACCTGTTTCCCAAACTCAAAGCAAAGTGAAGAAGCGGGAGAATTCCTCAAGAGGGGAGAGTTTGAAAGGATCGACCCTCAGAAGGAAGACTGACAAACCAGACCTTATCTGTGTGGACACCGAACAGAAGATCCAACCACTCAAGGTTCCAGAGAAATCATTGGATTTAGGTATGTAGCTTTTTCTGGAGGCATCTGCAACAGGGACCATGATCAGGAAGGTGGTAGACAGAGCATTGAATTGCTATACATATCCACCATTTTAGGGGCAACGATGGCCCTGTGATTAAAGACACTGAGCTTGTCAGCGGGAAAACTGACAGCCCAGGTTGGAGGCCCAAGTACTGCATGACAGGGTGATCTCCCATTACTTGTCCCAGCTCCTGCCAACCCAGCAGTTCAAAAGCATGCAAATGCGAGTAGATAAATAGGTACCACTTCGGGGGCGGGGAGGTAACAGTGTTCCACGCACCTCGGCCAGGGGTAGGATTCTACTGGAGGGATCAGTTCTTAACGGGCCCATTGGACTGTAAGACTTGAACATTCAAGAAACAGGTTGGGATATTAACTGGTGGCCTAACCTAATATTTAGCCTGTTTAGCTCTTGGGATTGAGAAGTCAAGCATAGGAAAAAATATCTTGCACCATTTCACAGGTACAAATAACAGTGGTTACTTTAAACAGCGATCCCACACCAAAGAACTGTACCACAGTATGTGGACTGTTAATGTGAAGATTGAGAAGGTGATGTTCAAACCCTTTAAAGAGGACCTACAGGTGATCCCATTTCCTCCATATTAGTTTTGTCAATAACCTTTCCCAACCTGGTACCCTTCGGATGGGCTAGATTAGAAGTCCCATGTTTCTGTCTAGGGTAGGATGATAGGAGTTGTATAGGAGTTCCACACATGTGGAAGGGATCCAGCTGGAAGAAACAGCATACAAAAAGCAGGGCCTTCACAGTTGTGGCCTCTAATGATCTACAGCTTTTCCAAGGCTCTTTCTCTAGCCGGTTTTATGGATCAGGAAAAGAAGCCATTCTTTTTCAGAGAATATCTTCAATTTGTTAATCTGGTTCATCTGCTGGTCTTTGAAATTACTTCACTGTGTTCACACAAGCTTAACCAACCTGTTAAATTAAGTGTGCATTTTCTAAATGCACACATTATTCCTACAACACTGTCAAACTATTTAGTAAGACTATTACTATTATTATTATTCTCATCTTTCCTATTACTTATCTCCTTTTCTACTTATAACTTGGTTCCTTGCATCTTTACAATTTATATTGTTTTATTACTTTTCTAGTATGATTTATGTTGACTGCTTCTTTAGTATCTTATGACTATCACTAAGAGTTGTATCTTATGATTTATGAAGAATGTATTTTTATGATGACTATGATCATGATTTATCACTTATAGCTTTTATGTACAATGAGAGCTTATGCACCGAAGACAAATTTGGTGTGTGTCCAATCACACTTGGCCAATAAAGAATTATATTCTACTCTATGCTACGCTACGCTATGCTATGCTACACTATGCTATGCTACTATTAATCTATTCTATTATTATTCTATTCTATTCTGTTTTCTATTCTGTTGTACTCTACTCTACTTTTCTCTATTATATTACATTTTATATTGAACTGTAAACCTGTCTGGGTCTGTGCTTCACCCAACCCAAATAAAATGCACCTAAGTTTAACTCTAACCAAGTTTAGCAGTTGGTGCAAATGCAGCCACCAAGTTGTTATCCCATAACTGTTTAAAGCTGTTGTGTGAAGACATTTATTGTATTCTCTATTGTAGCAGCACCAGCATACATAAAAATCACAGAGGAGGGAGCTTGGGACAATTTCCTCCTTTCTTGGTTTTGTGGGAAAGAAATCTATTTCTCAGATGCCCTTTTCCTGCGCTGAGTTAGCTAACCTTTCTGAAATAGAAAAGCTATTCAGGGTTGGCCTTAATTCATGCTGAAATAAAAGATCACCATCCCAGTCCAGAGAATAGGCTGGACCAAGAAGTCAAATAAACATCTTGGAAGAAAGGAGTACAGGCAGTCCTTGACTTACAACAGTTTGTTTAGTGACTGTTCAAAGTTACGACGGCACTGAAAAATGTGACTTACGACTGTTTTTCAGTTACGACCTTTGCAGCATCCCCATGATCATGTGATCAACATTCAGATGATTGGCAACTGGTTCGTATTTATGACTGTTGTTGTGTCCCAAGGTCATGTGATCACCTCTTGCGACCTTCTGACAAGCAAAGACAGTGAGGAAAGCCAGATTCACTGAACAACTGGCTTACTAATTTATCAACTGTAACAATTCACTTAACAGTGGCAAGAAAAGTTGTGAAATGGGGCAAAACCCACTTAACGAATGTCTCACTTAACAACAGAAATGTTGGGCTCAATTGTGGTTGTAAATTGAGGATTAGGGTAGTCCTCGATGTTGGGCTCAATTGTGGTCGCAAGTCGAGGACTACCCTAGTCCTCAATTTGCAACCGCAATTGAGCCCAACATTTCGGTTGCCGAAGGAGATATTTGTTAAGTAAAATGGGGCATTTTTGATGCATTTTACAGTCTTTCTTCCCACGCTTGTTAAGTGAAGCAGTCATTAAGTAAGTAACAATTGTTAAGTGAATCTGAACTTCCCCATTTACTTTGCCTGTCAGAAGGTTGCAAAAGGTGATCCCATGATCCCAGGATAATACAGAGATCCTAAAAATGAACCAGTTGGCAAGCTTCCAAATTTTGATCATGTGACCATGAGGAGGCTGCCACGCCCAATGAAAGAAACAAAATTTTAAGAAGTTATGATATTTATGTAGTTACTTACCAAGCATATCTAAATTATATTAAAGTAACCAAAATATCTTTACAATCCCCAAGGAATGTCACAGCTTTTTTAAAAAATAATTTTTATTAAACAGTTTGTTTTTTTTAAAAAAAGAAATTTTTACGATTTTCTTCTTTTCAACATTTTCACATCAGTAAACATTTCTTACATATCCATTTTTCTCCCTTACTTCAATTTATGATTTATACGTATGATTCTAGTTTGATTTATATACATAAAGATAACAATGTACTCAATTTCAATCGTACATTCTGTGTCCGTTCCATTTCCACTTGTTTGTTACTACATTTCAACTCCTATATCTTCCTCATTTACTCTTTCCTTGCCTTTTATACTTCTCCTCTAACCATTCATACCATTTGTCCCATACCAGGGGTCTGCAACCTTAAACACTCAAAGAGCCATTAGGACCCGTTTCCCACAGAAAAGAAAACACCAGGAGCCACAAAACCTGGGTGGGTGTAGCCAACTCGATGTCACTCACTTCCACCAGTCACTTCCACCTAGCCATGCTTACCCAGCCGGTCATTAGGGCAGAGAACCTGTTGTTAAAAAACACTGGGAATCACAAAACCCTTTTGATCTCTCTCTCCCTCCCTCCCTCCCCCCTCTCTCTGTATCTCTCTGTCTCTGCCCTGGCCGCTTCTCCATCCCCCACCGTCACCCTTACCTTCTCAGGACAGGCAAGGAGTGACTGGGAGGGGAGGGCAAGAGGCGGGGCTAGCCAGTGGTGGGATCACCCGACAGGGATCCACAGCAGAGGGCCCAAAGATCTGCATGTGGCTCCGGAGCCCCAGGTTGTTGTCACCCATCCCATACCATGTAGTATTCTGTTTCCTCCTTTTCTTGTATGTCTTTTGTGAACTTGTCCATCTCTGCACACTCCAAAACTTTTCCAATCAAATTTTCTTCCGTTGGCGTATTATTATTTTTCCAATTTTGTGCATATATTTTTTTATTTTTTATTTTCATATATCCCTGGTAGTATTCCTAACAAAAATATTTCTGGCTTCATCTCTATTCGTTGTCTGGTTATGTCTTCTAAATATATTCTAATTTTACTCCAATATTGTTTTACCTTGGGGCACATCCACCACATGTGGTAGTATGTTCCCTGACTTTGTTTACATTTCCAGCACAATTTTGAGCACCCCTAATGTTTGGAAATTGAAAGTTGAAAAATTTGACATGCCCTACCTGAGCGCAACAGTTGCAAGTGTGAAAAACAGTCATAAGTCATTTTTTTCAATGCCATTATAACTTTGAACGGTCACTAAACAATTGTAAGTCAAGGACTATCTCTAGCTAGCCACTCTTGTGTTGCTGTTCCTAAGAAAACTACATGACGTCGAGCTCAACTGAAGAGAGTCTTGATACAGTATATACTTTTCTTCTGAAAATTCATTTTCTTTTACCTTATCCAGTCAATATCCAGGCTCAACTAGAAAAATGGGATGAAGTTAAGCATCGTGGAGAAAAAGCTGGCAAAGGTTCTTCAGGTGCTGAGAGAAAATCATCATCTTCTAAAGCTCCATCAAAAGAATTTGTGTGGTAATTTGTACTTTTAACTTTATCTGAGGCCAATCCTGTCATTGGGTGAGATGAATCATCCTACCTCATTTTACCTTTACCATCCTAACAGTGAGAACAATCAACAAGTGGAACAGCTTGCCTTCAGAACTTGTGGGTGCTTCCTCACTGGAAGCTTTCAAGAAGAGATTGGACAACCACTTGTCTGAAATATTTTACGGTCTCCTGATTGAAGAGGGGGTTGGATTAGAAGACCTCCAAGGTCCATTCCAACTTTGTTATTCTGTTATTGTACAGATTCTGGGCAACCTGTGGTTAATTCCTTAGCCATACACCATTCATAGCCTGCCATCCCACACCTGCAATTTAGTTGACTATCATGCCCATAAGGAGATCACCAAATCAATAGGAAAGCAAAGAAAAGCCCAGAATAAGACATGGTGTGCATTGTATAATAATAATAATAATAATAATAATAATAATAATAATAATAATAATTAATAATAATAAATAAGAAGAAGAAGAAAGAAGAAGAAGAAGAAGAAGAAGAAGAAGAAGAAGAAGAAGAAGAAGAACAACAACAACAACAACAACAACAACAACTATTATTATTATTATTATTATTATTATTATTAATATTATTTTTAGAAATTCTAAAATTGCCGGACTTGAACATTTTGACTCTACAAAAAACCACCTTACTCGGAACAGCTTACATCCTCCGACGATACCTTAACAGTTCCTAGGTCCTTGGTTAGGACTCGAGCTGCTGAGCTATTAACCAGCCTCAAAGGCTGTGAATCTCACTAAAGATTAAATAATAATAATAATAATAATAATAATAATAATAATAATAATAATAATAATAATAGTACACTACTGGAAGAGAACCAGGAAAACAAAGAGAAATACTTGTTAATATTTCAAGTTAAGCATGATCTGAACATAAAATGGTCAGAAAACAAAAGCCCATGGATTCTAACAAATCCATGGACTCATTCTTACAATCACTTGTATTTTAGTCACCTTGAGGATGGACAGCTGTGTAGCTTTTCAGACTCATTGGAGTTAGGAGGTTCTAAAATTGGATGGATGAAGGGATGGATGGAAGATAGATAGATAGATAGATAGATAGATAGATAGATAGATAGATAGATAGATAGATAGATAGATAGATATAGAAGAGAGAGAGATAAGAGATGATAGATGGGTAATAGATGATAGATAGGTAATAGATAGATGATAGATAAGAGAGATGATGCCTAGAAGGTAAATGGATGGATGGATGGATGGATGGATGGATGGATGGATGGATGGAAAATAGAGATAGATATAGATAGATAGATAGATAGATAGATAGATAGATAGATAGATAGATAGATAGATAGATAGATATAGAAGAGAGAGAGAGAGAGATAAGCGATGATAGATGGGTAATAGATGATAGATAAGTAATAGATGATAGATAGGTAATAGGTAGATGATAGATAAGAGAGATGATGCCTAGAGGGTAAATGGATGGATGGATCAAAAATAGAAATAGATAGATGAGAGAAAGAGAGAGAGAGAGAGAGAGAGAGAGATGATAAATAAGTGATAGATGAGAGATGAGAGAGAAATGACAGCTAGAAGATGGATGGATGGATGGATGGATGGATGGATGGATGGATGGATGGACAGAGAAGATTGATAGATAGATAGCTGGGGCGGAGAATATTTTTTAAAGTCAGAAGCAGCACATGTTGTAAGTATTGTGAACTTAGCAAATGACCAATTCACTAATCAAGATAGAAATCAGAATACCGTTGCTTTCCACATTCGCACTTCAGAGTTTGCAGTCCAGTTCTCTTTACAACATGCATAAATGAGGGGAAGGGCACAGTGCTCTCCTCTACCCTCACTCAAATCCTCTTGCAGCTGAATGCTGAGAACTTGGGGCCTTTCTTGTATTTCTGCTATCCATTTTTTGCCCTGAATTTTGTTTACTGCGAAAGGGCTTAGAACCATGATTTGGAAGTGATGTAATCAAGGCCAGCTATGTTGGTGTTGCAGTCTGAGGATGTACAATTTTGTTCTTTTATAGGTTGGCAGAAAACAGGTCCCAGCCTGAACTGGCCACCAGTAAAACCACATTAGAATCTATTTCAACCACGGATTTAGAATTAGCCCCCGCACCAAAGGTAAGAGGAGTCATTTATTTCAACTAGTCATGTTTTGAAGCAGGCCAAAATTGTATATTCCAGATAATACTCATATTTTGCAAATCAGTAATATTAATCCTGATAGCTGCATCATTATGAATGCTATTAGTAATATTAATAGTATTTGACATTCAATGTAATATTTTTATGATGCACTTATAAAAGCAATCCAGGATCTACAGGTACAACGTACAGCGACTTAACAATCACAATTGAGCCCAAAATTTCTGCTGCTAAGGGAGACAGTTGTTAAGTGAGTTTTGCCCCATTTTACAAACTTTCTTGCCACAGTTGTTCAGTGAATCATTGCAACTGCTAAGTTAGCAATTGCAAAGTTGCTCCTTTTCTCATATTGTGTATTTGCACGTTACGGAAGGCAAATTATACCAGGGGTGAAATCCAGCAGGTTCTGACAGGTTCTGGCGAACCGGTAGCGGAAATTTTGACTAGTTTGGAGAACTGGCAAATACCACCTCTGGCTGGCCCCAGGAGTGGGGAGGGAATGGAGATTTTGCAGTATCCTTCCCCCAGGAGTGGGGTGGGAATGGAGATTTTGCAGTATCCTTCCCCTGCCATGCCCACCAAGCCACACCCACCAAGCCACACCACACCACACCCACCAAGCTACGCCCACAGGACTGGTAGTAAAAAAAATTGAATTCCTCCACTGCTCTAACCCAGTGTTTTTTTCAACCTTGGCAACTTTAAGATGTCAACTCTCAGAATTCCTCAGCCAAAGCCTGCTCCAACTTGTTCTTCATTCAGTAGTGCTCAGCCTAAGATCAGCAGATCCTTTTCATCCTCCCAAAGTGGGGGGGCACAACAACACATAGACAGTGGTGGATTTCAAATTTTGTTACTACCAGTTCTGTGGGTGTGGCTTGGTGGGCGTGGCATGGCTTGGTGGGCGTGGCTTGGTGGGCATGGCAGGGGAAGGATACTGCAAAATCCCCATTTCCTCCCGATCAGCTGGGACTCGGGAGGCAGAGAATAGATGGGGGCAGGGCCAGTCAGAGGTGGTATTTACCGGTTCTCCGGTAAACTAAAATTTTGAACTACTCAAAATTTCCACTACTGGTTCTCCAGCACTGGTTAGAACCTGCTGAATACCACCTCTGCACCGAGCTCAGAGTTTTATGCACTCTGGCAACCCTTTACAACCCAGTAACCACAAGAATAATAATGATCCAAAGTAAAATCATGTAAACACATATAGTTTTCCCCCCATTTGTTGGAAAGACATCTGGTTAATGAGTTTGACCTCAGAGAAGTATTGAAACTACGGGCTTAGCAAAGCCAACATTTTCAGGTGGCTTATCCCTGCATTGAAAGTTGAAATTTCTTTTCACCCTGTCCTTGAGTTTAGAAAAGGGTTTTTATTTTAAATGAAAAAAAGGGGGGGCTTATAAACTTGCATTGTACTTGTTCCCATGGGAGGATTCCAAAGAAAGAGCCGGAACAAAGGAAAAAGGAATAGTTTTAGAATAGAAATAGGAATCGACAAATCACGACTGCCTGGTCAAAGTGGAAAATGAAAACAGTGGGGGGCTTAGAAGCTGAGATTGATGAGAAAATGTTTGATATGGGCTTCACTGCTGTTGATAAAGAACTGGGTAATGGCTTCACTTCAAGCAAAGTGAAAACTGATGGAGATTAACAACGAGACAAAGCTTGGCCTTTGGCCACCAATATTGTTGGTAGGCAGCCATGATTCCAGCTTTCATCTAGCAAAGTACCATATTTTTCCGAGTATAAGACGCACCAGACTATAAGACGCACCTACCTTTTTTGGTGAGGAAAACAAGAAAAAGAAATCTGCCTCTGCCTCCCAGCAATTCTGCCTCGTTGCAGCAAACAGCAAACAGCCTGCTTTACTTTCATTTTCGTTTTCAGCATAGCTTGATTAGCACGAGCAAAAAAAAAAAAAATCTGCTCCCAGCAATTTACCTCCTTGCAGCAAGCAGCAGAGGCCCGCGCAGCAATAGGCAATGGCAATCCCTGCAGCCTGAAACAGCTGAGTGTCGAGGACAATCAACTTGTGCTAATTAGGCTGTGCTGAAGCTGAAATGGACTGTTTCTTCTTGCTGCTTGCTGCAAGGAGGTAAATTGCTGGGAGGCAGAGGCCAAAGGGTGAGGGCCAGTATGTGGGAGGGGCTACATTCGGTGTATAAGACGCACCCAAATTTTCACCCCCTTTTAGGTGGGAAAAGGTGTGTCTTGTACTCCAAAAAATATGGTACTTTTTACTCTATTCAAAATAATTTTTTCTCCAAGCACTTGTGAGGGAGGGGAACATGACTTGGATTTTGTAACTTGCTAACTAACAAAGTTACCTTGTATTTATTGTGGCCTGTCAGCTGCCAGCAGAGCTAGCTGCAGAGTCAAATGAGGAAGAGGTTGAGAGAGAGCCAGGACCAGCTTCGGAGTCTTTGGAAGGCTCTGATAAAGAAACAGCATCAGAGACAGAGGTAGAGCCGGGGCCTTCCATTCTCCCCCAGGTCGAGAGGCAGCTGTCTTTGGTGCCTGAGCTGAGTGAGGGGGTGGAACAGAGGGGGCCCATCTCCTTTTTGCGACCTTCTGACAAGCAAAGTCAGTGGTGAAGCCAGATTCACATACCAACCGTGTCACTAATTTAACCACTGCACTGATTCACTTAACAAATGTGGCAAGAAAAGTCACAAAATGGGGCAAAACTCACTTAACAAATTTCTCACTTAGCAATATACATTTTGGGCTCAATTGTGGTCATAACACCTGAAGGCCAGACAAGGAACAATGGATGGAAACTGAAGAGAGATTCAACCTAGAAATAAGGAGAATTTTTCTGACAGTGAGGACAATCAACCCATGGAACAGTTTGCCTCAGACGTTGTAGGAGCTTCATCACTGGAAGCTTTCAAGAAGAGACTGGGCTGCCATCTGTCAGAAATGGTGTAGGGTGTCCTGCTTGGACAGGGGTTGGACTAGATGACCTACAAGGTCCCTTACAATTCTGTTAATCTGTTAATCTGACTACCTGTAATTGAGAGTAGAATAAGAAGATGTCCTAAAAAAAATAACAGCTTCACAGTTCCTAGCCCAAATATCACAACTGTGCAAATTGAAGAGGTGGCCGCATCTATTTATGTATGGCTTATCTTGAAAGCTGAGTGGGGTCACCTTGGCTAGTATTTGAGTAGGAAGCCATTGGGGAACTATCAGACTAATCCATAAGATAAAAAAAAAACAAAAGCACAAGGAAGGAATAACAAACTTGTTAGGAGTCGATTGAAGTTGGCCAGCTATAGTACAACTATACTATATAGTACAGCTTTACTACAACTATAGTAAATTTAAATAAAGAAATGCTTTTTTATATATTCAAGTGCTGCTAAGGAAAATACATGGATGCAATCACTAGGAGATTAAGCTCAGTTTGAAAATATCTTTATTCCAGATACAAACCTCAATTTAGCCCTAAGCATTGAACTGATTCTGATTCTTTCAATGGATATCATGCTTCAGTTTGCCTTATTTTCTGACTGTGATGTTCTTCCAGGGCCGGTCAACCAAAGAGCAATGTTGGGGAAGACCACTCCTGTCCCGAAATCATTCCATGGAAGAGGAATTTGAACGCGCTAAAGCTGCCGTTGAGGTATTCGTTGGCATGTCAAGAACTAGTTCAATTGGAACGAGAAACCATTTCCTGCAATAGGCCACTTGCATTCCACTCAGCTGTGGTGGACATTGATTAAAAACACAATAGCAATAGTGCTTAGACTTATATACTGCTTCACAGGGATTTTAGAATGTAAGTAAATATGTAAAAAGTACGGTAAATGACTGAAATTTAAAACAAATTTTTTTGCAAAGACTTATATGCTGGCCCAATCAAACGATGACCCTAAGCAGCTTATACTCTTCATTACAGTATTAAGATTCAAATGCAATTAAATCAAATCCCAAACCACAAAGAGCACATCAATAAAATCGTAATGCAATCCCCGGATGCTACTGCTTCAAGAGCATCTTAATCTTCCCCACTGTCCAAAAGAGCCAGATGTTGGCTGTTACCAAGGAGGTCAGAGATATTTTTTTCCTTTAGCAAGAGAGCAAGAATCTACTAATCGTTGTCTCTGCCCTGCTAGTATTCTACGTGCATCGAATATTTCACAGAGCGACAAATTATGAAAGATGTTAAAATGTATGGGCTGTGGCCCAAATCTGACTCACGTAAAGCAACCACATCACTTTGAAGATATAACCAGTGATGGGATTCAGCCGGTTCGGGTCAGTTCACGCGAACTGGTTGTTAAATTGCTACCTGGCTCCACCTCTCCCTGCCCCACCCCTTCCAGGAGTCCCCATGTGCCCCATTTTGGCTCCCAGGTAAGTGCAGTGAGGCCTACTAGGCCCAAAACGGGGTGCGAGATGGTATATTTACTAACTTAAGTGGATATAGCTATATATTTAGATAGAAATAGAAATGTCAGGGGACTGTAAAAAAACCATGATTAAATTTAACAGGGGCAAAGGGAACCCATAAGACCAAAATGACTCCTAAAGGACAAATGTGATTTTACCCTTAGCTAATAATATTGGATGCATGTGTAAAATGGCCAGTGGGTTTTTTGTTAAATGAAGTACACATGCATAAAATGGAGGAGAGATTGTTGTCTCTTAGATCCAACATCCACTCGACTGACGAAGTCCAATGCATTGAAGGTTTATTGTATCTGCAAGGGGAAAGCTGGAACATTAAAAAAAAAACAAATTAAAATAAAAAGAAGGTCAGGCAGCAGCGGGTACCACTTTGAAGATGCTGTGTTGCATTCCTTCTCCATCCTATAATCCTGAACCATTTCACTCTGTGGTGGGATCCAACCTGTTTGCACCACTTCGGCTGAGCCCCACCCCGCCCCTCCCCTTCCAGAAGTCCCCACGTGCCCCATTTTGGCTCCCAGGGGGCTGCAGGGAAGCCTACTAGGCCCAAAACGGCGCCCCCCCAGCCTGTTTTTGCTCCCAGGGGGGTGCAGGAGGCTGAGTGCTGCCTGTCACACCCACTGGCCACACCCACCATGGCCACGCCCACCCAGCCTGTCATTAGGGCAGAGAACCGGTTGTTAAATTATTTGAATCCCACCACTGGATCTTACATAATTTTATTAACATAAATACAGAATGTCCTGGGTACCAAACAGCAGCCCTGTGCCAAAGCATAACCAGAGCTTAAATTGCATTGCAAAGACAAGTCACCGAAAAAGGCAGACACAATGAAAATTACAGCATGGTGTGATTATTAATAATCCATTAGGTAAACATATCAGTGTGACCTTATTATTATTTATTCCTTCTTCGGTTTCCTTTCACTTATCTGAGGCATTATAGAAATATATTCAAAACATGACAATTTGAGCCTTTTCATTTGTGGCTCAAGTGACAATTCTGGATTGATTTGTTTTGTGATCGATTTGTGTGTTTCCTTGACTGTTCGTGGTATTCTCAGCAAGTCTTTTCCAATAACAAAGTTCAAAAGCATCAGTGCTCGTTCTAGCTGGCTTCTTCAAAATCCAATTTTCACTTCCGTAGAGTGTTATGGGGAAAACCTTTATTACAGCCCCAATTCCGAGCTTACCCTCTGTATTCAATATGAAACAAAGCAAAAAAAAATTCTGGAGTCCTTTGCAAACGGACAGGAAGGGATTGAACTTAATCACAGGGTGTGTTTGCTGATAAAATTAGAAATTAATTACTTTCATGGCAGTTTGCCATGGAGAAAACCAGGAGGAAAATGTCCCGTCTCTTCAACTCCTCTCCCCCCTATCAGCTAGAAGGAATTGCTTGTTAAGAAAATATCTCCATTAACTATATGGCACTAAAATAATTCAAACCTGGCATTTTTGCAAACAGTAAATTGAATTAAAGCAATGTAAATATGTGAAGCTGGAATGGTGCTAAATATCTCCCTAAATACCTGGTTTTCCTCTTCTCTCATAATTACAAAATGTGCCCCTTGTGCTTCTATTTGAAGTCTTGCAGATATTGAACTGAACTGTGTGCTATGTTCTTAATAAGCAAGTACAGTTTGGATTTCCAGAACTTGTCACTGTCTCACAAGTAACCAGGTGCAGCACATAACCTTCCACAACACTCCCCTATAACATCAACCCCATAGTTCCATGATAGCGAATGTATGGCACGCGAAGCCATGTCGCCTGGCACGCATGGCCTTGCCTGTTTGTCTTCTGGGTTTCTGGTGTGCATGCACATGCAACGATCAGGTGTCCTTTGTGCACGCGGCAGTGCTGAAAACTGGTATGTGCAGCCAGCTGATTGTCGGGCGTGCATGAACCTGGAAGTTCAGCTTTTCCGGAGCGTGATCCCTTCGCGCGCGCAGCAGTACCAAAACCCGGCCTGTGCATGCACGCCAGCCAGCTGAACATGCGCACTAGAACCCGGAAGTTCAGCTTTTCTGGAGACACCTGACTTAAATGCTGCTGCAAAAAAATTGTACTCAGTCATGTGATGACCTACTTAATGTAAGGTGACCAGATTTTAACATTGGTAAAGAGGGACATTGTGGGCGTGGCTTATTTTGTGGGCGTGGCTAGCTGGTCATGTGACTGGGTGGGCGTGGCTAGCTGGTCATGTGACCGGGTGGCCATGGCTATGTGTATAGGGTAAGGTGAACAGATTTTAACATTGGTAAGAAGGACACCATTGTGGGCGTGGCTTATTGTGTGGGCATGGCTTGGAGGCCATGTGACTGGGTGGGCGTGGCTAGCTGGTCATGTGACCGGGTGGCCATGGCTATGTGTATAGGGACTACTCAGAGGGCTGAAAAGTCATTTCTGACAGGTCCTCACACTTTTGACTGGTCCTCACACTTATGACCATCCTCACATTTATGCCCGTGCAGCATTCTTAACAACCATGTCACTCATTTCACAACTGCTTCTCTTCACCATGGTGACAAGATAGGGCAAAAACGTAAAATTTGAGGACAGTCGTAAGTTCGAGGACTGGTCAAAAGTGCGAGGACCAGTCAAAAATAACTTTTTCAGCCCTCCGAGTAGTCCATATGCACAAAAGGACTAACCAGAGGGCTGAAAAAAGTCATTTCTGACAGGTCCTCGCACTTTTGACTGGTCCTCACACTTATGACCATCCTCATATTTATGCCCATGCAGCATTCTTAACAACCATGTCACTCATTTCACAACTGCTTCTCTTCACCATGATGACAAGATAGGGCAAAAATGTAAAATGTGAGGACAGTCGTAAATTCGAGGACTGGTCAAAAGTGTGAGGACCAGTCAAAAATAACTTTTTCAGCCCTCTGAGTAGTCCATATGCATTAAAGGATACAGCAATAGAGAGGGATGAAGGAAGAGAAATTAGAGTAGGAGTGAGGGTAAGAGAGGGAGGAAGAGAGGAGGAGAAGGAGAAAGGAAGAGGAAGTAGGGAGGAGAAAAAGAGGGTGGGGGGAAGAGAAAGTAAGAAGGAAAGAAAAGAGAGAGGTGGTAGGTTTGAGGAGAAAGATTGCTGTACAATAAAAAAGATGAACGGGAAGAAAGCCAACCCCAAACAAATATAAAGATATTAAGATAAAGAATGAATTGTTAAACTTTAAAGAATAAAAGAGAACAAATATGAATAAATAGCAGTAATTAGAAACACACATACAAACATACAATGTATTTTCTTTGAACAGAATATTTGGCTGGTTCACAAATTTAAACAGCGTTTAGTCATTTCAATTAAATTTACAATTTCTATATTTCCTTTTTGCCATATTTATTCCTCATCTATTTTTTAAAAAAACCAATATTACCCTTCATCCTCATCTCTAATCTTAATCAAATTCAATTTTTCCCTTCTATTCTATATTATACCCCTTCCCATTGTCATCTATTTTTATATCCATCCTCACATTGGTTAATTATGTAATTATGTAATACAGTTGTTTAATACAAATTCAACATTTTAATATAAATCAATTAGTTATATAACTATCTTTTTTGTATATTAATCAATATGAACATGAATATTCCAATTATTTCCATGCAATCCAATTTCTTACAAATCAATTAATTATATCTATCAATAATAATAAACCAAATAATTTCCCCCATATATACCTCCAAACCACAACTTAATTGCTGGGTCGCCCGCCCCTCCTCCCATCCACGCGGCATCAGCCTACCCTAGCCCAGGGCTGGGCAATTGTGGCTCTTTTACAACGTTTGGACTTCAACTCCCGCCGAGCCCATTCTGGGGAATTGTGGAGAATTCTGGGAGTTGAAGTCCACAAGTCTTAAAGCTGCCAAGGTGGGAGACATCAAGCATGAGGCTGGCCAAGTATCCTCCTTGAGAGACAACAGTTGAACATCAGGAGAGCTGTAAGAGGGCAGGGCTACATTTGGAAATTTTCGCATTTTTGCAGGTGGTGCATTACGATCTGGTGTCTGCAATGGAGAGCAAAATCCGGCTTCTTCTCTCTGCTGTAAGGGCGGCATCAGGATTCCACCTTGGTATATTTGCAGCACAAGGCAGCCCTCCTCTCCTGTCGCTTGGGACTCGGAGCGGTAAACAGCGTCTGGTTCGGGGAGCAGCCGGATTTTGCTCTCCATTGCTCTCTCGGCCCCCTGCAAG